AGGACGACTTTGGGTGCTCTCATCTTCTGCTAGGAGGGCCTGCGTTGCTGTGAACGATGATTCTGCAATAAAAAGAACCAGGATGTCAATGTTTGCTAGAGACACACAATTTACACAGAGCACACAAACCCGGGTAAAAATGGCAGTTGAGAATTCTGAGAACCTCCCAGTCGCTCAAACAAAAGGCAGCGTGTTGCATTAAAACAGTCGAAGAGAAGATAGATGAGCGGAGCGGCGGGGGAAGTGATGGTTCTGGCAATAAGTGGGAGGCAAGGAGATGTTTGAAATGATATTCTTATAGGCTGAGGGCGGCTGTTGTTTATAATGAGTTAAAATGCGTCAGGAAGAAATTGGGCATGTGATGTCTAGCCCTACGGCATTTCTAAGATAGCTTAATATTCAGAATTTTAAATGGCGTTTTACATGAATGTATTTTGCACCGACGTATCATACAGCAGGATTAAGCTCTTTCTCTTACAAAGGGCTAACATTTTGCAATCCCCATCATGAAATCTCTCAATCAGAAGGAATGTGTGTTTTGGCTTAATACAGTTATCACGCAGTGGGGAGCTGGGTAAGCATAATTACAGTATGACTAATGCCCTGGGTTTTGAACCATTCAGACAAGGTTTTAGTACATATTTTCCATCTTCAGAACCCACTGTGATATTTTATCTCATTAGGTGGTATATCACAGATGGGGGTCTGTGTAAACTTTAAAAGTTACCCGCTAAATCTAAATCATTTCAGTTAATATGTTAATAGTACGAAGAAGGGGGAGGCATCTTACTAACCCAGGGGAGAAATAATTTAGCAAATGATTGATATTAATTGCAAGGTTCCCAAGACCTTACTGTTAGTTATGATTACCATAGTTATTAAGAGTTCTCTTTGGAATAAATGGCAAGATGTTTTTACAATGGGCGAGAATACCACTTCTGCATGAGTCCCGGGTGCACAGACAGTTTTCTTATTATTTACATAAAAATCCTCAGTACAGAAGGTCCTTGTTCTTAGGAGACTGTTAAAGAGAAAATAAACCGCATTTCTGCCATAGCAAAGGGCACTTCAAACGAAGGTGTTTTTAGAAAGCAAATCCTGGCTTTGTGTCTGGATTGTGTTTGCCTGGGAATCTCAGAGGAGGGGCACCCCGGACACAGGAAATGGACTGGTGGCCCCGGGGGGGCTCTGGTCGCGCCCTCCCTCCCCACCGTGGCCCAGCTTGCCCCATTGGGAGACAGTGGCATGAAGAACAAGGACAGCCGGATGGGGTAAATCTTAGTTCTGCTTTTCATAGGTCATAGAGTTTCAGTCAACCCGCTGAGGTCTCTGGTTGTAGAGCATGTTTTAAAATGTTTACCACATAGAGCTATGGCCAGACTTAGACGAGAGAACCAATCTGTCGTTCAGCAAATGGTTCTCGTGTGACTGACTAGTCAATGCCTAAGAGACGCCAGTGAGCAGGGCTAGGCCTGGGGCTCATGGGCCTTGGAAATGGGCTTCACGAGGCTGTTTGGGGGGTGCTGTGTGTCTGTGGCAGGGTTAACATGGCTAGTGTGGGAGCTCATGGAAGATGAGTTCCCAGAATGTGGCTTTTAACAAGGGTCAGTTAGTTCCCTATTAGGAACCCCATACCCATAGCTTCCTTCCCGCCTGTCACTCTGAATTCCCCGGGATTTCCCCCCACCTTGGTCTCAAGGCCGGATTATGTGGCCTAAGAACGACACCCCGAGAGGTTTGGGTGTGTGTGTGTGTCTGTGAGCATGTGATGTGTACGTGTATTTTAAGGCATTTGCTTTCGTCCCTCAACACGACCCCTGTCTATTAACAGAATGAGGGGGCAAAAGCAAGAGAGAGAGCGATGGCAACAGAGAGAGAGAGGGAGGGAGCAGGAGAGAGAGAGATTGGGAGAGAACCAAAAAGAGAGATTTCCAGAAAAGGAAGGAAGTTAGATTGCTGTCCCCAACCTGCTCCCACCCCCAGCAAGAAAACCCCCTCTGGGATTAAACTGTGTGTGAAAGTTAGATGTGTGGAAGAGGCAATAGGAGAGACATTCTCAAGTCAGGAGCAGGAGGAAGCACAAGGTCTACAGGAGAACACCAGAAACGATAATCATGTACACAGAGTGAGCCAGGCCACCAGAAGAAGAGAGGTTAGCCAGGAGCCATGAGGCAAAGGGGAATGTTGGGAGTGCTTAGACCTCTGGACACACCCCACTTAGCCTGACCCAAGGAGTACGTGTGCCTTTTTGTGGAGACAAGGCACAAGGCCTGAGGTCTCCTTGTAGCCCCTCTTGCTTTGTGTCACAAAGGACAGAGCCTTGCCTCACCTTCTACGGCAGGTGGAGGGGTCTGTCCACACAGGCCGCTGTCCCTGATGCCTCCCCTGCTCTCTCAAGAGATGCTGGGACACAGAAAACTCCTGAGTCTTTTGCTGGAAGTATGACCAATTTTGAACCCTTTGCCGCCCCCAATCTTTCAGAAGCATGGATGAGAAAACTCTTCCAGCCCCCATTTTCTGAAGAAAATCTGAACTTGATCTTCATCTCTGCATTAAATTGGTCCCTCACAGCAGTATGAGGGGTAACATTCCTTGTATTAACTACCACCTCCGGCACACAGTCCCCTACTTGCCCCCCGCCCCCCACCCCCCGGGTTGCTTTTAGTCAACTCTTTCGGGAGATGAAATCAGCCTACATGGAGAAACAAGGCAACGGACCACTGCACAAAACTTGTCGCTGGCTGGGTAAAGACAGTGTTTCATTTCAGCCATGATGTCCTCTCTTTGAGAAGCCAGGGGCCAAGTTCCTTTCTAGTCTCGGCATCTGGAGCAATGATACAGTTATTTTACTGAGGGGGCATTCAACTTTTGATGTTTCATATGGTGGCTTAAAGGCTTAGCACCACGTGACACATCTTTTCTGTATCAACCTCACCCCTGGTTTTAGAATTTCTGTCTTCATTTCTCTAGATGTCATCTTTTCATTTCGCATTTTTAATTGGTTTGCTCTCACTAAGGTGTGTATATTTTTACAAGCCGCCCTAAATCTTTTGATGAACAAAGCCAGAAGTAAATAACTAAAGGATCCACAAGCCCTGTGTTCAGCTTATCTAATAATATCATGATGGTGATCTGGCTTTCCACAGGGAATTTTCTAGAAGGAGATAATGTACTAGTCTGAGAGCTCATGGATCTCACCTGGCAGTTTGAATTCTTCCTGCCCATTAACAATTTGACACTTGGGTTCCTGTAAGAGTCTCTTGTGGGCTTAGTGAGTGTGTGCCCCTCCCTGAGAAGGCTGTTCTTCCGCCCTTTAGGCCCGCCATAGCTGCACTCTAGACATAGTAATCCTCTTCCAATCCCTTGAGTATGGCAAACTCCTTTCTGACTCAGGGACTTTGCACATACAACTGCCTCTGCTTGGAGGGCCCTTCCTTCTGCTCTCTCCAGGCCTCCCTTTCTCATTATTAGAGCAGTAGCTGTAGGGGCACATTAGAATGATTGGGTTGGGGGGTTGGGGGGAGGAGAGTGTATTAATACCCAGGCTCCAACCCAGACAGATTAAACTAGGGGCAGAGCCTTGGTACTGGTATTTTTTTATTTTTTAAAGCTTCCCAAATGATTCTAATTTTTATCCAGGGCTGAGAATCACAGATCTCAGCTTAAATGTTAGCTTCTTAAGAGGGCTCCTTGGGCCACTTCCAGGACACAGATACCCTCTTGCTGTCCACCTCAGCTTCTTCTCTGGTTCCTTTGTCATAATCACTACCATTTGTAATTAGTGCATTCATTTGAATGGTTCTGTTTGTTCCCCCCTCCCTCCACCCAACTAGGACATAGGTGAGGTGACGACAGGAAATCTCTCTGTCTCAGTCTTTGTGCTTCTCTTCAGTACACAGTGTGAGGTGCATAACAGGATTCTAAGTCTACGATGATGAGGATGGTCCTCAAACGATGCTACTGCTCTGTGGGGCCTCCGGGAAGCCACTGAGTCTCCCTGAAATATTCCAAGAGAATCCATGTCAAGGCTCAGTGGCTATTTTAACTGGTAAAATGGTTGTGCACACTTTCCTTTTACCTGACTCCTGTGTCCCAGGATTTTTCCAGTGAGATCTGTAATGAATCCTGATTCGGAGTATCTCCTTTATGTGCATGTCCTTCTCCTTCACTTGATTTTAACCATTCTGAGTGAGGGAGTCCATCTTGTTTATCTTCGTGTTCCCACCCTACTCCAGCACCCCGCACAGAATCTTACACATAGTATGGGCTCTAGAGATGATTGTTGACTTGATTGGAGTTTCTTTTGTCTCTATGGCACATAGATATTTTGACAAAGATTTCACCCTGGACAGTAGCATTTGTCATTATTCAGGGCTTGGAGGCATGGGGAACAGTGAGCATGTCATAAAAGTTCAATTTTTGGTCTAGGCAGCCTCACCATAACCTAGATACAGATGGTCTCTACACCTGGAATGCACAGAAGGAAAAAAAAAGAGTATTTGTGTTTGGAGGCAAATAATGAAACTGTGAGGAGTCTGAAAACAACTCAGTCACCTACCTCACAACACAGGTGTTGGTCCAAAAAAGGGTGAATTCATGGTGGGGCTGCTTGAGCTCTTGCTCTGGCTGAGTCAGTTCTTTCTAAATTATTATGTGAGAGTTATTAATAAATCAAAGAAAAACAAACCACCGACCTACTGTTTTCCTTCCACAGTTAGTATGTTCACCAAGTTGACGTGTATGTTCTAAGGTGTTTTTTTCCCCCTAAACTTAAATTAACTAAGACCAGTTAGAGGAGTGGACATTTTTTCTTTCTTTCTTTTCTTTCCTTTTTTTTTTTTCTGTTTTATTTCACTTCCTTAAGGAATCATCCGTGTTTTTCACTCTTCCTTTCCTCAGTTTTACACAGGAGATTTGTTGGTGGGAAATGGAGAGACCTCTTCTCTGGGGAAGTTTTCATATTGTCACGGAGAGAAATGCACGTGCGCATGCACACACACACACACACACACACACACACAATGGGTAAACCCACACAAATGAGATCCCCTCTTCAGAGAAGCCAGCTACAGGAAATTGACTTATACACAGGAACTTGCTAATCTCTATCGTCACATTCCGATTGTTCCTGCCACCTCAGTCACCGCGCACATGAAACCCGACTGTCTGGGGTTGGATTCTCTACCAGCTCAACTTTTACATTTTTGTTCTTCCAATGCGAATCAGTTATATTCTTGGGGAGGAAGGAAACGATGATCCCAGAAGGAAATCGGAATGGTGAAAGGGCTCGGACAGATTTTTTTTCTTCTTACCTGCCCTGAACAGATTAACTTCCGGAGTCAGTCATTTTGGTGTCAAGAAATTTCTTCGGCATCTACAACAGGTAAGACTCTGGCTTCTTTAAAAATATTTCCTCGGTGTCACAAAAATCTCTCCAATTTAAGTAGCTTCTACTTTAGGCTAGACACAATAATAATCTTGCCCTACATGTTGTAAAGTGTGAAACCATTTTATGGGGGAAAGGGCAGTTGCTCTGGTACCCAACTCCACCTCCCACCCCTCCACCATCCTGACAAGTTGCTTGTAGTTTTTGAAATGTTACAAGTTATAATAGCTTTTGTTTTTTCAGATATTTTCCTAGAGAATTCAAGCCCTTGTGATTGACTGTGACTGAGTTCAAATATTGGGTAGTTTAAATATCACCCTATGTTTGATAAGTAAATATAAAGATCCTCTCAGTTGTACAAATAAGAATTTTTTTAAAGATTTATTTATTTGTCAGAGAGAGAGAGAGAATATGAACAGGGGGAGCGGCAGCAGGCAGAGGGAGAAGCAGGCTCCTTGTTGAGCAGGGAGCCCGACATGGGACTTGACCCCAGGACCCCGGGATCATGAGCTGAGCTGAAGGCAGATGCTTAACTGACTGAGCCACCCAGGTGTCCCTGTACAAATAAGAGTTAAACTTTTCTAAATTAGAAAAGAAACCAACCAAGATCCCGATGATAAGGATTTGGATCTGGAATTCCCAGCTTGTTGGTTTCACCTATTGTCAATGCTCAAGTCCTCTTTCTACAAGCGGCATGTGATGTCCAGGTATTTATTTTTAAATTGAATTAAATTAAATTTAGTTTTTGAGGTGGTTGGATTTGGAGACGTGCTGTGAGTTACCATCAATAGCCTGGGTTGTAGCTAAATAAAACTAGAAAATTGCTAGTTTTAGGTGTTTCCCTAAACTAGAACTGCCATTAAAATATTCAGGCAAGGAATAAATAGTCAATAACCACTTAATGATTCCAAGCTGGTGTGGAGGATATAAGACACATATAAGGAATCCTCCACCCTAAGGAACTTATAATCTAGTAGTAGTGGTGAGATGTGAAATTCAGGAAGCAGTACAAGGTGGGAATTGTGTGAATCCTGGGGTGATGTGGGCTGTAAGTTAGAGGAGTTCCAAGAAGGGGGTCTGAGGGTAAGCTAAAGCGGGTCTGGAAGACATGGCCTTGGAAAGATGTGAGATTTGAGTAGGTGGGAAAGGGGAGGTTAATTAGCATGGGAGTACGTGTGAACAAAGACCCACAGGTGAGACTGATGAGATGAGCGGTTCAGTGGAGGAGACTGGCCCCCCCAAAGAAGAAAAGATTGTTTTATACATTGTCAGGAAATAAGCTTGGAAAACTCGGGTGTAGACAGGTTGCAGAGGACCCTGAGAGGCTGCTGGGTAGAACAGATGCCTTTCTGGTGTTCTGGTCTTCTTAGGCCATCAGGCTCCTCTTCTCAGGTCTCACAGCTCTCACAGAATTCCAGGTGACAGGGAGCCCAGAGATCCTGGGCTCCTCATGTTGGGGCTGCTTTATGTGTCTCCACGTGTGTGACCTTCCACTTGCCTTCCTTCTGCTGGCTTCCCTTACTACACCATTGATGCCGAGGAAGGCTTGTGTGGCTGGGGGTTCCTGTAAGACTTCCATCTCTGGGCCTTACATGTCCAGCATCCAGTATTAAAGTGGCATTCCTCTTGGAAGGATGACCTGTTTGACTGAGTGAGCCTCTAGTCTTCAACAACCAGTGCAAAAATTCCATGAAATCTGTGTTGCTTTCTTTGCGTATCTGAATGAGATGTTATTGATGAGCTGGTACTTTTCCCCCAGTGATTCAGAGCACTTTTCTTTTTTCTGAACTGTGAAAAATTTGCATCCACCTAATAACAAAAATACAGTATGGTGAACAAGAATCCGGAGTTTGGAGCCAGATTACCTTGTGTTGAATCTGGTGCTTTTGCTTCCAAGCTGTGGGATCCTCGGATACACATTCTTCAATCCTCAGATTAAGAACAAGTATCTGTAAAGTAGCTCTAATAACTGAAAATACCTATTGAGATAAAAAATATGTAAAGCATTTAGCCTAGTGCTTGACATAAAATAAACTGTCAAGAAATGTGGCTATTATGGTTGTTATTAAGGACTTGGTGGGGACATGAGAGTGAAGCCGATATGGTCCCCGGTTGGGAACAAGGTATCTGTAAGTAACTCTCTTAATGCCAGGGTTCCTTTAAAAGGAAAAGGGGGCTACTGGGTGAAAAGCAGTAGTTTTTTTGAGCACCAAGTATGGGATAGGCACAGGGTTAGGTATTTTACAGCAATAATATATGTGAAAAAAGGAAAACAAGATTAGAAATGGATTTTTTTGAGCCTCTCCATATCTGATTGTCAGACTTATCAAAGAACTCTCCGAGGGACTGCTGTGTTATATATCATGTTATTGTTATTTATCTGGGGCTGATGTTGCCCTCTGAATGCTTCCGGTAGAATTTTAAAGGTGTTTTTGGCATTAGAGGAAGAGGCAGAGGGTGACTCTTTTTCCCCAGCCAGCTGAAATTAAATTATTTAATTTCATGGTATTTTAATATTACTAATTTTATGGTATTTTAATATTAGTAATATTAGTAACGAGGCATAGCCAAAAATCCATTTCTATTCATTGACCGTGTTGATGAGGAGCGCCCAAAGTGCCTATCTGGGTTCTAGATGCTGGGGTCTTGGGTGAGCCAAAACTGAAAAACATTCTGTTTTCCTGTTCCATTCTCCAAACTAGAGACTTTTGTGTGTGTGGGGGGGGGTGGGTAGTAAGCACCTTTTGGAAAAAAATGTAAATATGGCCATTATGTTCATTATACAGGGATGGCTCAATTATATGTGCAGATCACCTTAGTCAAATAGTAATATCGTTTTTCTTCTAGAACCCCACTCATAACAGAAGGGAGGCAAGAAGTGTGGGGCTTTGTGTATGTGAAGGGGTGAGTCCAAGTCAGGATAGGGTGCCAAACTGGGGCGTAACAGAAGGCAGCACAACAATAGTGGGTGCTGGGGTGGGCAGTGCAGGCAAGGAGGGTGTCCAAGATGGAGAGGGTGGATGGAGGCCGGGGGCTGGGCACTGGAAACAGTCGCCTTCTCTGTGGCTGTTTGGTCCTTTGACTCAAGCAGCTGCTTGAGGCCTCAAGCAACCTCTTGGTGCTTTGTGTAAGAAGACATACTGTTCCCTGGATGTGGAGAGTTGCTCAAAGATGATTTGATTTGTTCAGTTTTGGCCTGGAATCATAATTCCTAAAGTTGGCTGGACATCAAGACCACTTGGGGAATTTTTAAAAACTAGCATTTCTCATGTATCGCCTCGCAGCCCTGGGGTTTGATCCGGGAATCTGTGTGATCATCAGTGCAAACCCTCGCCCCCAGGTGACTTGGAGGCGGTTGATCTATAGATGAGCATCTGAGAGCCATTAATCCAGAACTCTTCGAACGGGGCCCCAAGCACCAAGATGGTAAGTTGAGTTAAGCGCTGAAATGAGGCTAAATGGTCTTCTCTTTGTTGTGATTCATATCGACATACAAAAGTATTTTCCTTTGTTTTCAATTGATTTCTTAGGTGAATTCCTGGGGGTGGGATGACTTGAGTTAAAGGTGGGGACGTGTTTAGAGTTTTCATCAACCACATTTACATTTTAACACTCGAGTGGTAAGGTGCCGCTTTAAAAAGACCGTATATACACGGAGAGGCTGTTCGTTATTACTCAGGGAAAGCCCAGAGGACGGAATTTGCTTTCAAGGGAGAAAGTGCCAAATCACCCTTCCATTTCTCTTTTCCAGTAAAACAGAATACTAATGAATTACCTTTGGAAGAAAATTTCAAAACATTGTAGAACACTTAACTGCTTCTTAGAGCCCAAGTTGGAGCCTTCTTATCTCCACGCTTAGATTCTTGTAATACTGTAGTCAGCAGTGACCTCTTCCCCATTTCGTAGAAAAGAAAACCAAAGAAGAGAGTGGTTAAGTAACAGGCAGTATGGTTCTAATCACATTTGCTGTGAGAACTGCGCGTGAACTGGCACTCAGTCATTGCTTGAGTTAATTAATAATTGGGTGGTTGTTATAGATGACCCCATGAAAAAGACACTAGTGCATGAAGAGACTACTGTCCAAATTGGGAGAGGGTGGGTGGAATTAATTGGCCCAGATAGACCTCCTGCTCTATTTTTTTTTTCTTTATTCCTTATTCATTATATATTTGCATAACTTGCTAACCTAAAAGCATGGTTATTGTTTGTGACAGCAGATGGGAATAGGGTGACTTTTCGATGGCTTCAGTTAAAAAAAAAAAAAAAAAGACGTGCTCTTGCAAAATATTCATGTGAGATATTTGTAGTGGGTGACGGAGCCTGCCTGTGCTTGTTTGCAAAAGCCGATTGTAATATTTTCAGAAATTTTGCAATTTTGTTAAGCGCAGCTGCCGTTAAAGATGAAATTCTATAACTTACAGTTCAATAAGTTCTGTTATAAATAAAGGTAGGAAATGCTCAGAACACGTTACTTCCTAGTTATTTACTACATTTTACTATTATCGATGCTCTTGAACTTATTTCAACTTACCTGTTTGATAGAAACATCATATAATAATATGCTACTGAGTGTCTCTTTCCAACTCTGTATTCAAGTTTGTAGCTTGAACCTGGACATGGTAGGAGCGTTTACACCACGGAAATTGGCAAACACCATAAATCAGGCTCCCCGCACTTGTTTTGAGGGGAGGCGGTTAAACATCTTATCAGCATACCATCAATGAACTATGGAAAATACAAATATGGCAACTTGGCAATATGTGTTAAGAACTGTTAAAATGCTCAGACATTTTGATCCCTTAATTCTATCCCTGGGAATTTATTTGAAATAAATATTTCAAAGAAGGAGGCGATAACATGCAGGAATATAGTCACTCAGAACCTGACTAAGGAATAATGATTCTGAACATTAATTTCATGGAATACTTTGTAATCATCAATACTTTGTGGTAGTTACGAAAATATATTTGGTATGGTGTTAGATTAGAAAAACAGGTTTAAAATTTTAACATATTCTGATTTTGTTATGAAGGAAGATTAAATGTGGGGTGAAACAATACAAGCATTTAGTGGGTTAGTACGGTGAAATGATAGAATTTTGTTTTTATTTCATTTATTGGAGTAATATGTGTGCATTTAAAAAATATGGAGAGGGCCTGTAAATAAGTGATCTTAAGCAGTTTTAACATTTGACTGGGAAGACTATGAGTTTTGTGGTCCAGATGTGGTTTGCCTTTGACATACAGGTATGTGACTCTCTGGGCTAAGTGTTATAAAGGGAGTTTATACCCAGGCAGTCTGGAGTGGTGGATAATAAGAGGGTCCCTTTCTTTCTTTTCTTTTCCTTCCTTCCCTCCTTCCTTCCTTCCTTCTGAGATCATGACCTGAGCTGAAACCAAAGAGTCCGAAGTTTACTGACTAAACCACCCAGGTGCCCCATAAGGGGGTTTCTTTAGGGCAGCTCAGGAAGGAGAAAGGAGTGACTGGCTGGGTATTGAAGATTTGCTAACGTAGACTGCAGAGGCTGGGAAAGAGCCCAGAGAAAATCAACTGGCAAGGCCCAGAGAGAGGAGAGAACATTTCTTCAGAAAAGACAGGGAAATGCTGACCTCAGAGATGAGTAAAATGGATGTGAAAGAAGTTGAATCTAGATCTGAAAACAATAGGTCTCAAACAAGAGGGGAAACGATTCTTCCAAATCAGGGGTTCTCAAATTTTAGTGCATTTAAGGGTCATCTGGTTGGATGGGGGTCATGTTAACAAATGCAGACTTCTAGGCTCATCTTCGTGGATTCTGTTTCAGTTGTCGGGGGTGGGGGGCGTTGTTTGGCTGGAATATGCATTTTTAACAAGTCTTCCCACTCCATAAAGTTTTTTGATACAAATGGTCTGCAGATCATACTTTGAGAAACACTGCCACATTAAGGGTAATGGTTTGGATGGGCTGAGGGCATGTATATCAGTGTGTGTGTGTGTGTGTGTGTGTGTGTGTGTGTGTGTTGGGGGTGAGGCTGTTACCTCAAGGCTTAGGATCTAAGGGCTTATGATGTAAAGGGGTATGACAACAGAGAAGCCCAGAAGGGACAAGTCACTGTGTGGAGTCTGTTGAGACCAACTAAAAACAGGAGGCCATCCTTATGCCACACCTTAACTAAATAGAGTTTGTACCACCAAATTCCCTTCCACCGGGAAGCGACTTTTGTGAGGCATTTGGACCAACTGGAAGCAGCTGTGAAGGAGGGAACTACAAGGAGGTAGCACAGAGAGGAGATCAGAGGGGGAGTCTAGGACCCATCAACATTCTATCTCTGACCACTGGGAGGTGGTCATTGAGAAGAAATGTGAGTAGAATAAGGGGTGCTATGTCCAGAAAACACTTTGGGCCTCTGTATATGATAACATTACATTAAAGAAGCAAACGAAGTCAATTTTTCAGTGAAATACAGTACTTTCTATATAGAATTATAGCACTCAAAATAGTAATAACACCAGAAATATGCCATAACAGCAACATATCACAATATGAACATATGAAAGTAAATGATCTTGCGGTAACAAGAACCATGGCATCGAGATTCTTTGCTTCACCTGGCTTTAGAGGAAATTTGGTGATTGTAATGAGCTCTCAAATAGCCTTTCATATCTTGGGTTCTTCCAGCTTTATCCTGAAGATGAATCTTGGACTTTAAAAAAGTTTCCCATTCGCTATCATTAGGGTCACTAGTCTCTTGGGACATGGCATGATAAATCAAGAAGAAATCACAACCCTTAGCACCAGAGGCACCACTCAGGGTCTGGTGGGTGTGTAAGGATACACCTCTTGACTATCCTACTTATGAAGTACCCACTTAAAAGGGTTTTTCGTGTACTGATTGGCTTATACTTCAGAGCAGTGTTACCTAATCACTTTTTTTTTTGGGGGGGGGGCTCATAAATTCCTTTAAGAATCTGTTGAGAACCAAAAATATTCTTGGGAAAAAGCACAGGATTGTGGGAACATGCACATTAACCATACAACTTTAGGGGACCTGGGGGCCCTCTGAAGCCCATCCATGACTTCCCATGAGTCCAGAGTCTTTATATTAAAAACCCCTGCTCAGAGGCTGTCTGCACAAAAATGGTCTGATTTTTGCTGAGGCTGGATTTAGCTGCCAAAGAGAAATGCTGACTTTCCAGGGGATGGTTAAAATGAAGACAAGATGGCAGATGTACATATAGTTTTCTTGTACTGGATCCTTAACTTGAGTAAACACAAAAGTGGACGTGTGGGGCGGAGTTGGTTTTTAGAGTATCTGTGATTCATGCTCTAAGTCCTTGATTCTCAATTCTCTTCTGTGAAGCCTGAGTTAGTTCCCATCTGGGAATGCAATCTTTCAAAATTCTACTTCAGTGTCTGATTTATGGACATTTTCTATGTTCATTTTGGAAATGCAGGCAGGTTGTAAATACTGATACGGCCAACTCCAGAGTATAGTGACGGGTGTGGAGCAAACTGTCACCCCTCAGTGAATACTGGATACTCATTCAGGCTGCTTTTGGGGGTAAAAGGCCATAGCTTCTGTATAACGTGCTTGGGTCTGCGTGTAAAATGTAGGTTTTCCTATCTGAAGCTGAACATCTGTTTAGGCCCTGATAACTTTAGAGATAAGTCCTTTTCCTCTGTAGCCTTAAACCACAGAAGCCCAGTTGGGTCATCTTTTGTGAGTGGGTACCTGACTTGCAGTTTGGAGAACTGGGTGTTTTTGCGGTAGGTCACGTCTTTGTTAATCTCTTATCTGCTTGGACTGTGATAGGGGCTTGGGCAGGGTCTGGAGATTTACCCGAAACCCAACTGTTTAAATTAGCCAATTCTGTTAAAAGTGATAAGACCATGTCGACACTTTTTATCGTGTCATGTTAGCAGAGGAGGCAGATAGATATAGGATGGGGACTGAAAATGCACTGCATCTTCAACCCTCCAGAGAAAAAAATATGTGCATTTGGCTAAATGAATTGTGAAATAAGAGTCAGGTTTTTCTTGGTCTTGCATAGCATAAGGATTATACATCTTTTTCTTTTTTAAAGATCTGTTTATTTATTTGAGAGAGAGAGGAACGCACAGAGGGAGAGGGGGGAGGCAGACTCTCCGCTGAGCAGAGAGCCTGATGCAGGGCTTGATCGCATGACTCTGAGATCATGACCTAAGCCAAAGGTGGAGGCTTAACTGACTGAGCCACTGGGGTGCCCCAGGATTATACATCTTTTTCAAGGTAGAAAAAGAAAATCTATGACAAATATATTCAAGTAATTAGTGCAGCTCAACTTCTACAACCAGTTTCATTATGGTACGCCCATGATTGGGTCTTCTGCCAATTTCAACTCAATGTATTCAATACAGTCAATTTGTTTTAATACGTTCAATGCATTTTAATAATAATAGTGCATCA